GAGAGGGAGGGAGGGAGGTATGGGGAGTGAGGTGTGGGGGTCCAGCACAGAAGTCAGGAAGGAGGAGGGGACGGTTTAGCTGCCAGACTGGGCCCCACCAGAGGGAAGCCCAGGAAGAAAAGAGGCCACGACCACCACCTCAGGGAGTGCCGTCCTGCTCAGGTTCATTTTCCAACTGAAGGCATGTTAAGGTGGGCACTGGGGCACAGGAAGGCTCTGGGACACTGGGGCTGGGCTGCGGCCTCCAGAGAAGCATCCACAGCCTCAGCAGGGGGAACAGGGGACTATAAATTAGGAAAAACTCCAGTCTCAACAAGTCTGCCCCCTCACCCTGCTGTCTAAGGTGAAAAATTAAACCCTGTCTCCACCATAAACTGCCTGTATTCATTTATTCCTCCTGCAAATACTTTGAGCTTCTGCTGTGTACCAGGCCCTGAGATAGGTGCTGGGGGTATAGAAGACAATAAAGCACAGCCCCAACCTTTGAGGAACTTACCCCATAGACAGGGAGATGGGCCCTGCAAAACGATGAGACCACTGCATGGGTTGGTGTGGGCCACCTGTCTTGGGGTCCCTCTGGGACATCTTCCCAACAGTGAGTCTCAGGGAAGGCTTCGTGGAGGAGGTGTTATCATAGCTGAGTATAAAAAATGAATGGCAATTAGACAAAAAGGAAGAGGAAGGGCACTCTGGGCAAGGAAGACAGCAACAGCAAAATGAGTATGTGTGGAGGTTTTGCTAATGAGGAGTCAGGAGGTGCTGGAAGATGCAGCACGGGGCAGTGTCTCTGCCAAGATTCTTAGTTGAGGAGGGAGAGTATAGCTCAAGTGGTAGAGCACCTGCTTAGCACGCGTGAAGTCCTGGGTTCAATACCCAACACCTCCTCTAAGAATAAATAAACCTAATTACCTCCCTGAACCAGGGGGAAAAAAAAGAAGAAGAAGGAAAAAAGATTCTTAGTTGAGAGCAACAGAAACTGATGCTGACTAGTTAAACAGAAAAGAAAATTACAAAGGGATGTTGGATGCCACACTCCTGCAAGCCCCAATTCATAAATTCAAAGCTCAGCTCAAACCCACCCAGGACAGAGTACACGGCAAAGTTAGCTACGGAGGTTCCCCAAAGATCATTGTGTCCAGAATTCTTAATCTTGGGCCCACAGATGGTGGGGGGGGGGAGCAAAAGGCATAACATTTTAAATATGTGTATGTATATTTTCCTGGGCACAGGGTCCATAACTTTCATCGGATTCACAAAGGAACCCATGCTGTAGGTCGAAGTCAGGTTCTCCCGGAAGCAAGTCCTGAGATGAAGATTCACACGTAAGTGACTTAGTAAAGAAACGTCCCCAGAAGAAACTGGTAAGGGAGAAGAAGAATCAGGATAGTAGGGAAGGGGAACAAGCCAAGAAGGAGTGCAATTTTGTGTGAAAACCCATACTGGCTGGCAATGAAGTAAGGACTACTCAGGCCAGACAGAAACAACAGCTAGAATTTAGGGGCAATGGACTCTAAGCAATGAAATCAGCTTTTACCTTGAAGACATTGTTTGAACTTAATAAACATGAGTCTCAGTTTTTCAGCCTCAGGGAAATGGGACAAGATTTAGAAGAATTCCATGCTTAAAACAATCCCAAGCTGGAGGAACTGGGACAACTTTGATGACAATAGCCTAATGGTGACTCTCCCCATGGGGCTAGGCCCTACGTCCCCTAAAGTCGTTCTCAGAGGAGAGTGGATGCCCAGGAAAGGTCAGGGGGCTGTTAAGCAGAAGGAAGGGGGAATGGCCATTGGGTAGCCAAGCAGCAAGGCCTGCTTCACTGAGGGAATAACTCAAGTTATGAACTTGACCCAGAGGAGACGCTTTAGTGCTGGGGGAGGCAGGGGAGTGGGAGGATGACGAATTTGAGTTCACTTCTGAGTCTGCATTCAGATTCACCTCCTAATCTGGCCCACTGGACTCATTCATGTCTGAGACCCACCAAGGGAGCTAGTGTAATGAAAAAAATAAAAAGGACTACAAAGAGCAAACAAATCCACTTTGGGAACTCACCAAGCAAAGAGAAACATTTCCCCCTCCGCAGTGGTAGCCTTCCAGCTTTGGCCTCAGAAGGGCTCTTTGACTCAGTCAAGGCAGGGAAAGGTAGGGCCATTGGCCTGCCTACTGGATCAGGCTGCTTATGAGTTCACAGGATCAATGACCTGAGAACTGTCAGAAATACGTGGGTGGACTTTGCAGGGGCTGGAGGGGCTCCTCACCCACCTCAGCAGGGGGATGCAAACAACAGGTGGAATTGGTGCTTACTGTTTCATTTTTATTCATGTAGCTCCATTTATACCCTAAGGCTATTAAAGCCTGGGGAGCCCAGGTTATAAGACTGAAAAAATACCTTTCAGACTTGATAATTAGATTCTGGATCATGTTGGAAAGAGAAGTTTCAGGGGGGTGTTGGGGGCTGAAGTCAGCCTACAAAGAATGAGGAAGGAAAGACAGGAGGTGAGGAAGTGGAGACATTGTTAATTACTCTTTGGAGAAACTTGGATAGGGAGAGGAATGAAGGGTTACACGGTGGCCAGAAACAGGAGGAGAGGATCCTTTGTAGAATGGAAGAGACTAGAGCAAGTTCTTGGCCTAAGGAGAAGGAGCTAAGAGAACAAGGTTTTATAGATCTGGGGCAAGATCCCAGAATTCATGAGGGGAATGGGATTCAGGAACTGGGAGAATTTGTAGAGATGGGCATCTCTCTGGAGCAGGGCTCAGCAGGCCAGCCAATCTCAGGAGCAGGAAAGGTGGGCTCTATGCATGATTCAAGGACAGGCTGAGCCTGGGAAGACAGGGGAGCAAGTGAATCAGGGCTACTGGGGAGGGAAGGATTCAAATGACCCTCCAGAGGTTCAGGCTGGGAAAGGAGGAAGCCTGATGAGAAGGGGCAAAAAGACTGGACCAGAGGTCTCCAGGAAGTTAAAAAAAAGTCAAGGGTCATTAAGGTTGTCCACACGTAGGATTGTCGAAGACTGTGTTAGGCAGTGGAGTTTGACATTAAAGATTTCTGAGGAGGAGCACCTTATCCCAGTTATTTAACCTCTCCAAGTCTCTCAGCTTCCTAATCTATAAAATGAGACTAAAATTCCCACCCATAAAAATACTAAAAGCTGGAGGAGGATATAGCTAAAGTGGTAGAGTGCGTGCTTGGCATGCTTGAGATCCTGGGTTCAATCCCCAGTACCTCCACAAAAATAAATAAGTAAACAGCTTATAGCTGGATACATTTGCTTTGTCTAGTTTGGCAGCCTTCTTTTAACTGAACCATTTAGTCCATTCACGTTTATTAAAATGCTGATATATACATTTATATATTTATTTATATATTTATGTGTGTATACATATATTTCTGCCCTATTATTTTGTATTTTCCCTGCCTTTTCTTGATTTCTTTTTCTGTTCTTTCCTGCTTTCTTGATTATTTTTTCTCATTTTTCTCCTTTATCAGTTTGCAAATTATACCTTTTCTTTGCTATTCTTAGTGATTATACTAGAAACTTTAATATGCACATTTTGTCTAAGCCTAAAGTTAATCAGTATCTTTAAATCTTTCTTAAATAAAAAAGGAACTTGGAACTAATTCTAATCACCGCTCTTTTAGCTCATATACCACTGCTTTTATGTCTTTGAATTTTATCTTTAAGTTTACAAGACATTGTTAGTATTGTTTATACAATATTTGCTTTAACTCATGTAGGTACCACTTTCTCTGCTCTGCATTCCTTCTTGTCTTTCATTCCATCACTTTCTTTCTGCTAGTGGCAAATATAGCTTTTGTCATCTCATCATGTCATTATTTTTTCTAACTCTTAAAGTATCTTTTCATTGGTTTTAGAATGTTTGGTTGAAAGTCACTTTCTCTCAGCACAGTGAAAATATAATTCTACGATCTTCCAGCTATTAAGAAATCAGCTGTTTTAGTCTAATTGTCACTACCTTGAAAACAATCTATTCTTAACACTTTCTGTCTTTGGTAATCTGCATTTGCACTGCGTGTCTACTTGTAGATTTCTTTTTATTGATTCTTCGTAGGATTTACTGAGATTCTTGAATGTATGAATTGATGGATTTCTGGATAAGTCTCAGTCACTAACTAGTCAAATGTTACTTCTGTCCCATAATCTCTCTCTTCTCCTTCTGGAACCTCTGATTATATGTATTTTGGACCATTTCACTTTATCCTCCATGTCTTTTAACTACTCTTTCATATTTACCATTTTTTAAAAATTTCTCTGTGCTTCATTTTAGAGAATTTCTCCAGGTCTATCTTCCAGTTCTAATTTTATTGTGTCTGATATATTCAGTTGTGTATAAACTTCCATTAAACACAACCTTTGAATTTGTAGATTTCGTTGTGATAATTTAAATTTCTAGAGGGACATCCTATTTCTTGTTCAAATATACTTGGTCCTTCTTCAGAGTCTCTTGTTCCCTGGTTAAATTTTCAAGCTTCTTTTCTACTCTTTCAGCATTTTAAACAGTTATTTTATACTATTTGATAATTCTAATATCTGAGTCTATGCAGATTTATTTCCACTGTCCGTGGTTTCCTTGAGTGTTTTGTAATTTTCAACTAGGAGCTACTTATTTCTTTGGAGCTTCCTCTGTGGGAATCCTTGAGGCTTGGGATGGAGAGGTTTTTTCCAGGAGTGTTTGCATTTGATTTACCAGATGCTTATGGTGTTACCAGAGTGAGCCCATTTTAAATTAAATGCTGGACTGACATTTTTCAGACCATCTAAGTAGTGTGAATTTGGGCTTCAAATGACATAGGTAGCGCGTATAGTTCTGAATTTGCAGGGACTATTTTATTCTCTCCTGAGAAGAGGGAAATAAAGGTGGGAATTTTTCTCTTCCGTCTGTTTGGAGGTGGTGGTGCTTCTCTCTGGTTAATAATTCTCTAAAGTCCCAATCTTTCGTGGGGAAGGTCTTATCAGACTTCCCACCTTGAGTGTCTCTCAGTCGTGTGCTGGAACTGGCTCCTACCAGCACAGAACCACCAAATATCTAGGAATTGCGCCTGCCCTCTTGGTACCATCAGGAGCTTGAAACTGGTCATGGTGGGAGTATTTACCCCATGGAAATCAGCAAATACAAAAACAGGGTACTTTGTTTTGCTGGAGAGTCAGTTGCTAGTACACCACTGGTTTCTCTCAAATCACCCCACCCCTATGAGACCAAGTTCAAGTTTACTGAGTTAAAAAATAAAAATAATAAAGTTTCAGTTGTCTGAGATGAAAAAGTCCTAGGGATCTCCTGTACAACACTGTGCTCATAGTTAACAATACTGTGCTGTACACTTAAAATTTTGTTGAGGGTAGATCTCGTGATCTATCTATATATATCCACGGTATAAACAAATGAACGAATAAAATAGCTCAACTTACCCCTCCGGATTATTAAGTTTCTTGGCCTGAGTATTCCTCACTTTCTTGCCAGCTCATCAGAGTATTTTTAAAAAGTTGGTTTTTTCATCTTATCCAGAATTGCTTGCAGAAGGAAGCTTATTTAGTGTACCTCGTCTACCTTATTACCAGAAATGAACTGTTCTGTTTCATAACCTAGAAATTGAGAATGTTGTGCTAAATCAGTGATTTTTAACACTTGGGAGACACAGGCCTTTAAAAATTTTGATAAAAATTAGAGCCTAGAGACCCTTTCCCCAGAAAAATACACACAGAGGAAATCTATGTTTTTGCTCCCCTGAAACCATGCACGGGCCCTAGATTAAGACTCTCCAATGACATGAATGCTCTCTGAGGTTCCTGCCAAAGTTAACTTTTGTTGGCCACACCATGTTCTCTGCCCTGAGCAGAGTTTGCAGGAGCCTTCTCTTGGGTGAGTATGAGGGGTACAGACCTTTGAGTTTCTGAATTGGGTCTTCCAGGGTCTCCGGGGCCTCTTAGGGAAGGAGAAACTTGACAGTTGTCAACCAACACTTACACAGACTAAAGCACAGGCAGTATTCCGTCAACCAGACCTCTCCACATTTACTCATTCAGTGAGTATTTATTGGATCCTGTTCCTACTGTCTACTGCTACATAACAAATCATCCCCAAACTTAGTGACTTATACAATAATAAAAGCAATCATTCATTTTTTCATCTCTCATGGCTCTAAGAGTAACTGGGCTCAGCGAGGTAATTCTCACTCAGGGTTTGTCATGTGGTTGTAATCAGATGTCAGCTGAGGCTGGAATCATCTCAAAGCCTCCCTCAGTGCATGTCTGGCAGTTGATAGTGGCTGTAGGCTAAGTTTTCGGCAGGGCCTTTAGCTGACAGGGCACCTATGTGTGTCCCCCCTATGTGACTTGGGCATCCTCGCAGCATAGCAGCTGAGTACTGAAAGGGAGGATTCAGGAAGAGAGCACACCAGGAGGAAACCATATTACCTTCCACGGTCTAGGCCTCGATATCTCACTGTATTGTTTCTGCCACATTCTGTTATTAGACCAGTCCGCATTTAACGGGAGGTCAATAGAGTTGAGGACTTCTTCTACATCTTGATGGGAAGAGTATCAGAAAATGTGCAGACATGTTTTAAAACCACCACACGCCCCTTCTGTGTGCCAAGCACTGGACAAGGCTCTTGTGACAGACTGGGTGAGTAACACAAATCCTGCCCTTATGGTACTTACAGTCTAGTGGTGGAGATACATGCTAATAAAGTAATATTACAAATATGTACACAATTGTAAACTTTGACAGTGCTCTGGAAAATGAGTACAGGGAGCCACCATGAGAAATTGTATTACACATTTGTATGACCTGGACCAGGGACCCAAGGATGAATTCCCTGAAGAAGAGAAGACATCTGGGTTGAGATCTGAAGCATGAGTGGATGCTAATTCCATGAAAGTGGCTGACGAAAAGCTTTCCAGGCAGAGGGAATCTTAGGCCATGGCCCTAGGGCAGGAGGCAAGGTAGTCTGAGAGGCAGCCAGTGTGTCTGGAGGCAGATAGCAGGGAAGGGTGGTGTAAGACAAGGCTGCAGTGGTGGGCTGGGGCCAGGCTCCCAGACTTTTTAGGCCAAGTGAGAATATTAGTTTTGGGCCTTAAAGCTGCAGAAAGCTACTGAAGGGCCACTCATTGGAGAGTGGTATGAACATATCTGTCATCTAAAAATCACTCTGGCTCCTGTGTGGGTGGCCCCTGCCAGATGCTGAGTCAGGTCTGGAAGGACTGGGAGACTCTTATCTGCAGCACTCCCCCTCTCCATGAGACTCACCCACACATATGCCCAGGCCGCAGCAGGCTAGGCTCTGTGTCTCTAGACTAGGCTCCTGCATCCTGTATTTGACCTTTTTGGTCCCTCTTCCCAGGCAGGAAGTCCTGCCATTTTGCATTACTCAATTAGTCACTCTTTTAGTCTGCCAGTCAGTTGGTATAGTGGTATAATGGCCTCCAAAAGATATGTCCACATGCTAATCCCCAGAACCTGAGAATGTCACCTTATTTGGGGGAAAAAAAGTCATATATGAACATAATTTAGTTAAGGATCTGGAGAAGAGTAGATCATCCTTGATTTTCTGGGTGGTCCCTAAATCCTATGACAAATATTCTTAAAAGAGTGAGACAGAGGGAGAGTTGACATGGACAGAAGAGGAGGAAGTAATGGGGAGTGACAGAGACAGAGACTGAAGTGATGAGGCTACAGGTCAAGGAATGCCAACAGCTGTCAGAAGGTGGAGCCTCCAGAAAGAATACGGCCCTGCTGATGCCTTGATTTCAGCCCAGTGATGTGATTGTGAACTTACGCCCTCCAGAACTGAGAGAATAAATTTCTTTCTGGTTGTTTTAAGCCACCAGTTTGTGGTAATTTGTTAGAGCAACCAGAAGAAATGAATACAGTTGAGGACTTCTTTAGTTGTTCCTTCCTGCTGAGCTTTACTGGCTCCTTCAGGGAACCTCCAAGTGTTGGAATGCCCAAGGCTCCATTTTCAGACTTCTTTGTCTATTCTATGTGAGCTCATCCCTTCACGTGGCCTTAAAAGGCCATTTATTTGCTAATATCCTCCAAATTTTATCTCCACCTAGGGCCTTCTCATGAAGTTCAGCCATCTTTTCATGCAGATGAAAAGAAGACTCTGGTCCACTCCCACCTCCATCCCCAAATTCTCCTGGCCAGGCATCCCCAGCCACTTAAGTTGGAAGTAGATGGTAGCCATCCTAGATTTATTTCTCGATTTCCCTCATATCTTGTAAGTCTGCTAGTAAGTCTTGTTGTTTAGGTCTCAAAATACTTCTCAAATCCATCCACTCCTCTTCCTTTCCATGGTCACTACAGCCACCAGCATCTCTTACCCAGATGACTGCACCAGCCTTCTAAAAACCCCCAGCTTCTGCTCTTATCCCCTCTCCTGTCCCTTCTCCTTACAGTAGCCAGAGTGAGTTTAAAAAATTAGATCAGGTTGCAGTTTCTTAAATAACTGTATTGAGGTGCAGTCAACATACAATTAACTATATATTTAAAGTGGAAAAGTTATGACATATGTATACCTTCATGAAATCATCAGTATGATAAAGAACATACCTATTGCCCTAAAAAGGTTCCTCATGCTCCTTTGAAATTGAACCCTCCCTCCCCTACCTCCCATCCCCAGGCAGCAACTGATCTGTCTTCTGTCACTATAGACTAGTTAACATTTTCTAGAATTTGTATATAAATTGAACAGTATACTATATACTCTCTTTTATATGGCTTATTTTGAGATTTATCCATGTTTTTCACTATATCAGTAATTTGTTCCTTTTTATTGTTGAGTAGTATTCCATTGTATGGATGTACCACAGTTTGTTTAACCATTCATTTGATGATGTACATTTGGGTTGTTTTCAGTTTTTAGTTACTATGTATAAAGGTGTTATAAACATTCACATATAGGACTTTGTGTGGAATTAAGCTGTCATCTCTCTTGGGTAAATACCTAGAAGAGTAATCAAGGGGGAGATGTTTGTTTAACTTTTTGAGAAATTGCCAAAATGTTTCCCAAAGTGTTTACACTATTTTACAGTCCCACCAGCAGGGCAGGAGTGTTATAGTATTTTATGTATATATATGTTTCACATGCTTTTCAACACTTGGTAAGATCAGTCTTTTAATTTTAGCTTTCCTAAAAGTGGATGTGTAATTGTATTTTCACTTACAGTTCCCTGATAACCAAGGAGCATGTTTTCATGTTCATATTTGCTATTTGTTTATCTTCTTTGGAGAAGTGTCTTTTCAAGTTTTGCTCATATTGAAAAAATTTGGATTTTTTTTCTGTATTCCTATTGAGCTGCATATTTTAAAAAATATTCCAGATACAAATTCTTTCTTCATGTATTCTAGGTCTATAAAAAGGTTTTTAAAAAATATTTTCTAGATACAAGTCCTCTGTTGGACATACGTATTACCAATATTTTCTCCCAATGGTGACCATCTTTTCATTTTCCTAGTGGTATCTTACAGAGAACAAGTTTTAAATTTACTGAAGTCTGGTTTATCACCTTTTTCTTTTATTAGCAATTTTGGGGTCATATCTCAGAACTTTACCCAACCCAAAGTTATATTTTCTCCCATGTTTTCTTTTAGAAGTTTTTAGTTTTTGCTCTTACATTTAGGTTTGTGATCCATTTTGAATTAATTTTTGTGTATGGTGTGAGGTAAGGGTAGAGGTTCATATTTTTCCCACACACAGACATCCAGTTGTTCAGCACCATTTGTTGACAGGCTATTTTTTTTCCCAAAGTTGCTTGGCACCTTTGTCAAAAATCAACTGACAACTCCCCCTGTGGGGTAGGTCTGCATGACTGAAGAGTCCCTTGTGAAGTCAGCCCTGGATTCTGGGGGCCACAAAGAAATGAAAAGCCAAGGCCCACCCTTGAAAGCTTCTGGCCACCTGTCTACTTGGAGGCTCACTGCTCCCGATTGCCCAGCCAGGAGGTGAAGCAAGGGTGGTACAGGGTAAACAGGGGTAAGGCTACAGAGCTTGACCCAATCTCTGGCAGCTGATCCTCCACAACTCTGCTGCAGGGCTTCCAAACCCCATAAAAACCTTACCTGGTGTCTGCTGTGCTTAAGAAGAGCCTGTGCAGAAGACACAGAGAGGGCTTTGTAGCCTCTTCTCCACCCCACCTCCCAACCTCCCCTGACCTGGGCCCTCTGCTCATGGAAACTCCCCTACTGAACCCGCTGTCTGGCCCCAGCAGACAGGCAGTGGTGCTCTCCATGGGGGTAGGACGTGGGCCTGTGCTTCTGGGAGCCACTCAGTGCAACTGAACCCATCCTAGGTGTCCCTCTCCATAGACCAGAGGGGTCCCGGCTCTCTGGGTGGGGAAGAGGCTTCGAATAGAAGCTGGAGACTTCACAGTTAATCCAAAGTTTCCCCAGGAACACCCTGGCTGTGGGGTCAGGGATGTGGCTGGACTCTCATCACAGATGAGTATGTGTAGGAGGGTGTCAGAACCTCTGGTGAGGGAGGCAGCTGTTTGCAATAACTGAGCAGCAGAACCCAGGCCACCAACAATCACTGAGCCCCCATCCTGCTCACTGGCAGACTCCATGATCAGGAGGCCCTGCTCCAGTGACATCATCCTCTTCACACACGGCCGAGGGAAATGAGCTCAGGGCAGCCGTCGGAGGCGGTCTGTTTACTCACAGAGACCCTGGCCGTCAGCAGCTCTTTGACCAGACATTCCCTGTCCTAGCCAGCATGAAGCAGAAATTTCCTTAAACACATTTCTTTGGACTCAATCCACTTGTGCCCTTGTTTTCAATTTTTTTTTTTTTAAGAGGAAAATTCCCAGTTCTGGCCCCAAACAGAGCAACCCAGCGATGGTGGGGGGAGATCACAATGACTCTCAGAAGGCCTTTTGCAGGTTTAGTTGCTCCCACTTCCCCTGTAATCCCTGGAGATGGAGAACATCAAACCAAGTCTCAGTCACCAGTGTTTAGGGGAGGTCAGAGGGATGGTCAGCACGACCTCAAGGGCAGACCCTCTCCTTGAAGGCCTCTCTCAGGGCCTCAGCCACCCTGAGGTCACAGTCAGAGCATTTCTCAACTCAGCAACCCTGGCTAGGCCCTAGACCCCTCCCTCATTCCCTGCGGGTCAGGGATATTTCAGAAGAGCCCAAGAGCTGCCAGTTTTCACAGGCTCCAGGGGATTCCCAAGATGGTCACCCCCAACCGCCCTGGCTGAGAGGCGGTGTCACCTGCCCTCCCCCAACTCTCTCGTGTTATTCCTGCTGGAACTCAGCCATTCAAGAAGACTTGAGGAGACAGGGGTTATGGAGGTCTCCTCAGTCTCCCCAGTGCTCCAGGACCCAAAGGCCACTTGCTCCAGGAGCAGTGATGCCCTCCCAGGAGTGTCAATCATGGAAGACAGATGCCCTCCCTCCGCCTGGCAGGATCTGCCCACTACTGGGGCTGCTCAGACAGGCCCAGACATGTCGGCGAGCCTTACCTGACCCAGCTCCTCCCTGTGGCTTGATCCTACTTAGCTCAGCGTCTTGCAGCACCAGAGATGGGCTCGGGGCAGAATCAGGTCAGAAGAGGGCGCTGAATCTGTGTTTCATAGTGCTTTACGAAAGACTGCGAATGTCAAGGGTCCACATCAGAGAATGTGGTGGAGGGAGCGGCTCACACACAGATCTGGGTTGGCAGCTTCCTAGAGGCACTGAAGAAAGGGCCAGACTTTCTCACCCAACTGTCCCTATCCCCCGCCCCCTCAACGAACACAGCTCCAGAACTCCCTAAACATGTGGTTCCAATGATTCAACTAGTCAACATGTCTACTAACCCAGAATTTGTAAGGTATGAAAGCTGGAAAGACCTCAGATCAGGACAGAAGTTAATGTTTATTGAACATCTATTGTGAGCCCTGTATGATGCTTACACGTGTTATTTTATTTCATCCTCACAACACCGAGGGAGATTAAGTAACTCCAAAGGAGGCACAACTCATATACGGCAGAGCTGGGATTCAAACCTGGTTCTGTCTGAACCCAGACCTTCTACAATTAGGCATTCCCAATTTGAACACTGAGAAATTAACTCAGGAAATCAATTACTCCTTCCGTAAACCAAGCAAGGCCTGTAAATTAAAGACTTGGCCATTCCGCCCTCTATTCTACAGATTAGGAAACTGAGGCCAGATCACAGAGCGTTTGAGCTGAGCACAGGACAGGGACTCAGACTCAGATCACTGTTCCTCCCACCACCCCAGCCTGTCTCATAGCCCTAAGTCAAGCCAGGTGAGGGAATAGTGGGAGAAACCCTGTGGGCTCTGCCCTCTAGAAGACAAGACAAAGATGAACAGAGAAACACATACATAGCCATACCCAGACATCCACACAGCCAGACATGCAGAGACATAGCTCCACAAGGAAACAAGCAAGAAGGGCCCTTACACGGGATCTACTTTTTAGATGGTCACACTGCACCCCACACGGTGAGAAGTCCCTGGGGTCAAGAAGATAGGTCCACCAGGAGCCCACAGCCCATTCTAGGTACATGGGACCCCATGATTTCCTTCTTGGAGCCATTTGGGCAGACTCTGCCAATGCTATGGGCACCCCTAGATCCAAAGGGCAGCCAAGGGGTGGAGTGCATGCATGGAGTTTGGACACATGTGAGGAGTCACACATGCAGGCACGTCCCCTCGAGGTACAGGATGGAGCCGAGATGGGGAAGGAGAGGAAGCAGCCACTCGTTCTGTGTTGCTGAGCTCCAGCACAAAACTCAGAGGAGTTAGGAATTTAAAATCAAACCCAGCCCTCCAGATATTAGGACTGAGTCTTTTATTTAGCAGTTTGTTGTTCTGACTTTTATATAACATTTAAATATTTAGACATATGGATATAAGCCCTCATTTGTACTCTTGCCCTGGGTCTTTCAAATGTTAGAAGCTGCCTGAGACACGTCTCTAAATTCCCAGTGCCCAGTGTGGGGCCAGTCACAGCGCAAGCACTTTAAAGATGTCTGTTAGTAAATAAGCAAATCACTTTAAGAATGAATCAAAGATTGAGTGAATGAATCCTTCTGCACAAATATAAACTGACAAGTATACATGCTTTCAGAGACTCACTAACATACTGACAAATAAATCCCCACACTCCCAAAGACACACATGCTTAAGCTCACATCTACAAAGACAGGTGCATGTTCACACCAAAATAACCTAAATGCTCACATGTGTACTCCCACAGACACATGTAGTCAGGTGTAGACCCACTCATCTATGCCAAGACACAGAAGCCCACACTTTGCCTTGAAGATACCCACATATATGAGCTCACACATGCAGACAAACACAGAAGGACAACTTTCCCACTGAACCCAACTCCAGCCAGAAATGCAGCCACCTACACATACAAACACAGAACAGTCACACGAATCCACGCTGACGCATGCAGCTAGGTAAAGCCATAGGCCCAAGACAGACTGAGAGTGAGCCACCTGTCCACAGAGACCCCCTGGCTGCCCTGGGCTCCCACACTGTCTGTCTCCCTCCCCCTCCTGTCTGCGGCCAGAGGGGCTCCTAGAGGAATTCCTTCTGCAGACTGGCTGAGAAAGGCTGTTCTTTCTCCTCCCCCGCAGTCCCAGGCCAGAGCCCTAGGGTAGAGAAGCAGATGGTGTGTGCTGGGGGGGCTCCCCCTTCCCAAGTAATCTGCCCTCCGGCTGTGGCTACCTCCCACAGCCTGGCCAAGCCTAGACTGGGCACTGGGCTCTGGACAGTAGCACAGCCCCACTCAGGTCCTGCTGCCCCAACTCTACTTCCAACAGGATGATTTAGGAGGGGCTGGTGAACAGTGCTTTTCCAGAGGCCATGCTTCCTCAGGAAATAGCTCGGCCACAAGCCTGATCTCCAAAACAGGCGTAGGATGAAAACACCTCTGTGCCTCTCCAAAAACAGGGGCCGCCCCTCTCATTCAGAGCCCCTCACGTCATTCTAGCCACAGCATCTCAAGGTAGTGGATCGCAAGAAAGGCCCAGGGTCTAGTCCCACTTCTAAGCTGACTTGCTGCATCCACTGCTGTAAAATAAGCCACATGGGTGTGATGCCTTCAGATGTAACTAGAATGATGTAGGATTCTCAAATTCCCTGGGCAGCCCCTGGGCAAGGGTGAAGGGGCTCCAAACCCAGGGACGGTGGCCTGGTGTTGACCTCTTCTTAAGTCACAGAATCATTATAGTAAACACAGAGCTTGTGCCAGGAGTGGTTGAGGCTGAGGTGCTGGCACTGGAGCAAAATGGAGATGCAGGCACAGGAATGTCCTGTGCGGTCTGAAGA